GAGACCCTATCTTGAAAAAAACACCATCACAAAAAAAGGCTGGTGGAGTGGGCCAAGGTAGGCCCTGAGTTCAAGCCCCAGGACCCCCCCCACCAAAAATATACCAGGGGAAAGGAATGTGGGAGAACACAATTTTAAAGTAAATTTGATAAACTACCCATCACACTAGAGGTGGAAAATTTTTGAAGTCTTGCCTATCTAGCATCATTTATCTTTATTCACCCTTCAGGGGACCCATAAAGTCTTCTATACAGCTGGCACATATCTTAGTATAGGAACACTGCCATCAGCAATAACTGAGAAATTTGTTATTGAAGAAAAGTAACAAAATTGCTTACTTTAACCTTAAAGAACTAACAGGGAACGAGATTATTTAGTATGATCTTTTATTTCACAGATGAAAACATAGGGGTTTGAAGAGTATACATTTTTATCCACAGTCATAATTGTAAGTGACAAGAGTGGAGACCAGCAGCAAGTGCTTTGTTGCCTCTATGATGTCCAAATAAGCACCCACATTTTTGCACTATGATCACTTGTATCGGGCCATGTATACATATAAACTTATTTTCAACACGTGAGATTTAAAATCTGTAGGAGTTTCCTCATAGACAAACAGCAGCAGCAGTGAAAACACTGGTCTTCTCTCTTCTGTTTATATGGACCTAATGCAGTTTCCCTCAATTAACTCTTAGCTTGTGTCATAAATGTGTTTAATACAGTTGCTGCCTTAGCATCTATCTTTAGAACTGAGAGAAGTAATCTGAAATCCATTCATACCCTTTCAGTTTGCCTGGAAGCTCCTTGTTTCTTATCTCAGTGACTGAAAATCCAACACAGCCCACAGTTGCTGACCGTGATAAAAATTACCATTAACAACAAAGACAAGTTCCACCTTCAAGAGTGTCTCCTTTTAAATAGCCAAACCACAACCCTATGAAAAAGCATAAGAGAGAACACCATGCACCTTAATAAAGGTATGATTCCATGGGTCTTCTTTCTCTTTCTTCCTCTCCTCACCCACTAAGCTGAGCTTCCTCATACCTGCAGACTTCCCATGGCCTCCTGACAGGATCCTAACCTTTAAGCGATCTGTAAGTAATAAATTTTTTGTCTCAGATATTTTGGTTTTATTTCCTCATTATGTCTCACCTGCTCCACAATCCAAACTTACCTTATCCCTAGGCTCCCCTGGACAGTGACTATCTTGGTTTACTGCTATTCTTAACAGAGAGACCTCAAAACAGGATTATACAAAGGCAACTGCTGGAGCAGGAACCAACAGGAGGGTGGAGGGCAAAAGAAGTCAGCAATGGTGGGATGAATATGATCAAAGTACATTATATTCATGTATAGAAATAGAATAATGAAATCCATTAAACTTCAAAAAATGTGGGATAAGAAAAAGTAACAAAGAGGGTGAACATGATCCAAGTACCATTATATGCATGTATGGAAACCATCATATTCATGTACTGAAATCCCTTTATATAATACCTAATACTCTAAAAAAAGAAAAAGTAAAGACCAAATTTTTAAAAATTCACAACAACATGACAGCTTGCCAAAACTTCTGCACAGACAGCCATGAAGAAGAACGAAATGTTATTATTCGCTGGTAAATGGATGGAATTGGAGAACATCATTCTGAGTGAGGTTAGCCTGGCCCAAAAGACCAAAAATCGTATGTTCTCCCTCATATGTGGACATTTGATCAAGGGCAAACACAACAAGGGGACTGGACTTTGGGCACATGATAAAAGCGAGAGCACACAGGGAGGGGTGAGGATAGGTAAGACACCTAAAAAATTTTCTAGCATTTGTTGCCCTTAACACAGAGAAACTAAAGCAGATACCTTGGAAGCAACTGAGGCCAATAGGAAAAGGGGACCAGGAACTAGAGAAAAGGTGAGATCAAAAAGAATTAACCTAGAAGGTAACACACACGCACAAACCTTGTATGCACATATGAATAATAAAATAATTTAAAAAAAAAAAAACAACTTCTGCATAGATATTCTATAGTGTTTCACCCTAAACCCAGGCACTTAAGCTTGTGAGCCACACTCACCCTTCCCTCTTCCTTGCACTCCTTGTACCATTCTCACTTATTCCACCATTAGTGGGTCTCTGAGATCTGTCACATTGGAGTCTGTGCTGCATTTCTTTCTACCCCATTGGCAGCAGACACCATGAACACAAAGCACAAGAGCAACAGTCACTGTTAGCACCTTGTTCCCCTCACCTTTAAAGAGACTAGGACTACCTCAGTGACAGGTAAAGGCTGTGGTATCCACTGTACATGCAACCATGTCTGGTTCACAGCATGTATCCTGAAAGACCTAAAGGACTCTTTAACAGTGCATTCTGATGCAGAAGGATGTCCCACCAAAAGTCTTCTAGACAGAACATAGTTTAGCATGTATCTGATATTATGTCAAAATTGCAAATTGGTAGCCCACAGGCTAAATCAAGTGGGTTTTCTTTTACTGACATGTGCTATTTATTAGTGGAATTAGTCACCAACATTTAAATCTTGAAGCTTTAAAAAAAAAAAACTAAAAAAACTAAAGATTTCTAGCTTCTGAAACACTGGGTCAACATTTTTACATAATATATCAATCAGGCAGGAATGACCTTTTTCCTTAACCAAAGGGTCATACTCTCTTAATCTCTCTGTGAACATTTTGTATGATTTTCCAGAAAATAATATCAGTTCTCATCATGATGCTTGTGCTGCTGCTTTTCTTAAAAGAAGAAAGAAGTATTTCTAGTACAGCTGGAGGACTGGCTCAAGTGGCAGAGCACCTACCAAGCAAGCCCAAAGCCCTGAGTTCAAACATCAGTATCACAAAAAAAAGAGAAGTATTTCTAGTACATATGCTTGTTAAAAAACTATTTATTGGGTTGGGGATGTAGCTCAGTGATAACTAGCATATCCAAGGCACTGGGTTTTATCTCTATTACTGGGGGAGGAAAACTGTTCATTTGATGTAATTTCAAGTTTTGGAAAGACAAGAGATTTATAAATGTGGATATGAATGACAACAGCCAAATGAAATACAATTATGCTTCAGAGTGGGTACCACAATCCTCAAAAAAACAGCTCTCTAGAACTGCTGAATAATTTGAAAGTGCACATTTAAACATGCTATATTATTACAGAGACATATATACAGTCATTTTGAGGCCCATGGTTCATAGGGAAATATAAAGCAAAAGATTCCAGTGGCTAAGTATAAAGGGATAAACAGAAGAATGTAGGATCAAGCTTAAAAGATGAAAACAAAACAAAACAAAAGGACATATATATACATGATCAAGCAGAAAATTTAAACACAAAATCAACAAAAGGTGGCAATGATATTTTCTATTTTATTTTCTTAACTTGTTTTAGAGGTGCTAGGAATTGAACCCAGAGCTTTGTACATGGTTAGGCAAACAGTCTACCATGTGAGCTACACACATCCTTTTGGTTTTTGTTTAGTTTTGTTTTGAGACAGCATCTCTTTGTTACACTTGCCCACGCTAGCCTAGAACTTGTGATCCTTCTACCTCTGCCTTCCAAGTATTGGGATTATAAATATGTTCCACTATACCCTGCTTCAAATATGCTACTTTAATTTAAGTAATGTTTGAAGAAATAAACTAAAATGTGACATCCCGATCAAGTAATCCCAAATTTTTGCTATAAAATATCCCCACCTAACACATCTTAAGTAGATACTTTGAAATTGGAAATCTTGTCTGTACCATGCTTGATTCCAGAAAAGAGACTACATGCAAGGACTTCCTTAATCATTCTGACTTGGAATGTCCCAGGAGAACAATATGGATGGTAAAGAGTTCTATAACAATCATTGCTATGACCTTACAACTCTCATACCTAGATAGGCTCACATTACACTGATTTGGATAACGGATGATTAAGATAAACATGAGCTGAGACTATCATCACTTCTAAGTGAAAATACATCATTATAACAAAGGACCAAATTTTAAGTTAACTAAAATTCACAGCTTTTCAAAAAACTCTAAACTTAACCAGCTACTAGTGACCTCAAGATTTAAGAACATTTTAATACATACACTAAAATCAATAGTTCATTATTCTGAAATATCTTGCATTTGATCATCCCCATATCATATGTTAAATCAGTTCTGAGGAATCTCATTACTCAGTCATAAAAGAGAAAAGCAAGGAATCCCCCATTCTTTAATAACTTTGCTTTTATCTGTTTCCATATGCAGGGCTCTCACTTTAAGGAGCTGAAAATCCTTCAACTCTGAATAATTTATCAAAATTTAAAGTGGCCCAGTAATGAAATAAAAACTTTGTCAAATTTTGGAAATTCCATTCACTATTACAGCTTGTTTATTAAACTCCAGCTCCTCCTACAATGTGTTAATTTCCAAAAATAAAAAACTAAACTCTTAGGAGAGCATGATGAGCACATTCTTCACTATGACAGACAGAAGTTACCAATACCCCTAGTAAATAATTCAAGAAACACTTTGCAATTGAGAAGCTCATTTGTGCAGTCTCGAAAGGTGAGAAGCACACCAGTAACATAGGCAATTATCTCAAGCAGAACTGTTTGGCAAAAACATTTAAATTCTCAACCTTAATGTTTGGAGTAATATAGTATATACAAAACATTTAACTCCTAAGGTTCTATAGTGAAAACATACAATATTCACTTAATAATGAAGTTTCCATAGGAATGCAGTGCCTTTTGATATTATACAATAGCTCATTAGGAAGCGAAGAATTAGCTTGCTCTTATTGTGAAAATAATACATGGAAATATTTCCAATAAAAATTTGTAGTTACAGCAATTTGCAAAGAGAAACAACATGTCTGTCTAACTCCATTTAGATTTTCAAGGCTGTGAGACAACTGATAGAAATGGAAAGTAAAGAAAGTAGCTACAGAAAAAGAGTTCAGTAGAGGTTAGTGAACAAATGCACACTATCATCCGTCATGTTCTCTGTCTTACCTGAGGAGGAGTGGGTGTGGACGTAGGTCTCCCTATGGGTGGAGTGGGATTTCTGCTGCCACCTCCAGACATAATCTCCTCTGTTATGTCTTTACCTCCCTGGTTTGGATCACGAATTCTTATCTACAAAGTTAAATGAGATGGCAAATGTACAGAAGAGTTTATAAGTAGCAGAATTACAGTCATGTAATGAATGTAAGGTACAAACTGAGACATCTGTCAAACTATCAAAGTTCATTATCACCACATATGACTATACTTCAATCACAGAACCATATGGGGTCACTGAAAGAAATTTAGGTCATTACCTGTGACATGGACTAATTAGCATAACAAGCTAAAATAGTACAAAGTTGGCTGAATTTCTAGGTCAAAAAGGCAAAGTTTTTTTTTTTTTGCTTATTTTAGCATGACTATCAACATACACTGATTTTATTTATAATTTTTTTTTTAAACTTTAACAACTTTTATTAGGATATATTTGTTGTACAGGAGAGATTCATTGTGACAATTCTGTTTGTTTTTTCTTTTTTGGTGGTGCTGAGAGTTGAACTCAGGGCCTTGTGTGTGCCAGGCAAGCACTCTACCACTAAGCCAAATCTCCATCCCTATTTATAATATTTGACATGAAACGAGGTATAGCTGAGTACAGTGGCTCAGGCCTGCCATCCCAGTTACTCCAGAAGCAGAGCTTGGAAAAAGCAAGACCCCCCCCCCATCTCAACAAATAATCTGGAGTGTGGTGGTACACATCTATAATCCCAGCTACCTGGGAGGCATAGGTAAGAGTATGACAATCCCAAGCTCATCTGTGAGAAAAGCAAGAACCAATTTAAAAAATAACCTAAAGCAAAAAAAAGGGCGGGAGACATGGCTCAATGTGCAGAGCACTTGCCTAGCAGTGCAAGGCCTTGAGTCAGGAACATCAATACTTCTCAAAAACCCTACAAAAACAAAATTGACAGGGCTCATAAAACAGTCTTAAAATAAGGAATTTAGTTTGTAGAATAAAGTTGTAAATTCTCTTAAAAATAAAAACTATACAAATCCTATGATTTAGGAATAGGAACTACCCTGCAAATAACTATATACTTATTTGAGGGTGCTCTCTGAGGCAGTATTGTTTTTTCATTGAAAGACAAAGAAACATCATAAAGGTCAACCAAGAACAAAAAGTTAAAAAATTATCCTACATCTTCACAGCCAGTAAACAGCATGAGGCACATCTCCATGTGCTGATGTGGAATTATCACCAAACTATATTGCTATGTGAAAAAATGTAAGACATGAACCAGTGTGCAATGTCTTCCCATTTTAATTTAAGGTTACCTATGCTTATAGTTGCCAGTAGGGACAGTGCTATAATGAAGAGGAGTACTTGGGTGTAGGCACTTAGTGCGGGACACTGTTGAGGCAAGAAAGGCCCACTTTGTTGTTTATTATCTTTATAGTTTAATTAAGGTAGCACTGGCTTCTTGAGAATCACAGACAACTTTGTAGTAAAACCATGTGGATCTGGAAGGTTAGGGAGGGGGAGTTCTTCACTTTACATTTCTGTATCAACTACTTTTTTGGGTATGGAAAATTGTTTCTGCTACAGTTTTAAATATTATATTGATTCACTTCTATTTTATCTTTGGTAATAACAATTATAACTATCTTCCATTTTCATCATCACCTTTATTCATTTATTGGCATTGTACGAGTGCTATTTAAGTCACAATACTACCATGCTGATTCAACATTTTCAAAGCATAGTTCTTTGAACTGTAGTGTCATGATACATTGGTGTGTCCTGTTCATTATGACATTGTGCAGAAGTAATTAGTTCTAATAATAGTGTCATTTTGTGTGTTCTGCTAGGTAAGAGACTGAAAGCCACTCTTCAAAAAAAATGTTATGCAATTTAAATTTTCTACTACTATAATTTAATTCTCTTGGGCTTGCCTTATTAGACAGAGGCTGAGCCCTTATAACTTATTTAAAAACAATTAAAATACATTTATTAAATTCTGCTTTCTTTTTAAATCTATTCAACAAAAAAGGATTTTTCCTGTTGTCAATAATGCTGTCGCAACTTTTACTCCGGTACTATTTGCTCTCTACTCTAAATTTATACTTCAATGGAGAGCTGATTAGGACTAGTGGTAAAGGACAGTGAGGATTGGGAACTGAACTGAAGCTCCTCCCACTGAAGGAGATCTTAGAACACAAAACTAACCCAGTTCTAAAGCTGGAATGCATGTTATCAAGTACCATACTTATCTCAGTAAATGGTAAAATGTGGTATTAAGGAAACAGTATATACACAATTTCTAATGAAGTCCTCATATAAATACTCGTGGTTGAAGTGAATGGTAAGGATATAGGAAAGGGGTAAAAAATGCCACAGTAATTTAAAAACTGAGATGAACAGTGATCATATAGGCTTATTAAATAAGTGAAAAGATTTTTCCAATGTTAAGAAAAATTAATAAAGCTGTCTTACAGTTTTTTTCTCTCTCTTGGCTGGAGGAGGCTGTTGCTGTGTAGGCACAATGATAGGTGCTGACTGATACACTGGCTGACTTGGATAAAAAGGCGTTCCTAAAGAATTAGAACAAATTGAAAAGCAGTCAGTTATTTTGTCAAACATTACAGGACTATTTATTAATGGCTCAGACATTAGGCAATTTCTTTTAAAAAGTAAAACATAAAAGCAAACAGCTAAGCATGTTTCTTAATCATCTCTTCTCTTGTCAGCTACTATCATGGTGAAGAAATTATTCTTAAATTATGTAATGTCTTCAAATGTTAAAAAAACATCCAATATGATACTGTAATCCTAGCTACTCAGGAGGCAGAGTGGAGGAGGATCTCTGTTGCACCAGCCTGAGCAAATAGTTCCATGAGTCCCTATCTCACAAGACCCTTCACAAAAATAAGGCTGGTGGAGTGGCTCAAGGTGAAGGCCCTGAGTTCAAGTCCCAGTAAGGAAAAAAAAAATCCAGTATGAAAGCAACAAAGTATTCAATTCTTATATAAAACTGTGCTATAGCACTGCTTCTGTTTTATAAACAAATAAATCTAAAAACAAATCTACCTATCTTTCTTTCTTTCTATCTATCTTCTTGGAGCCCCACTGCCTGCAATGGTGAATCTCAACCAAGGGCTAATATGATTCTGTCTTTGTGGAGGTTTGGTCATGGGCAGGAAGGGAATAATCTGATCATCATGGGGGTATAAGTGGCCTAATCTTACTTATGAAGAACAATGCTATAAAGAGCTACCATTAAGGCTTGGTAAATGTCCTAATGTTGGGGTTTAATAACAAGGAAACCAAAAGACAAAGACCAGATACTAAAAGCTCAAGTTCTAAAACACATTTCCTACCACAGTAGAACTTGAGACTTCTGCTCTAGCTATAATCTATGTCTATTCCTATCCTTGAGTACACCAATCTCAGTGAGATTGAACAGAGTCAAAAGACTGACTTTGTAACGGGTTGAACTGACCAAAGTATACTAACAGTGGGGATATTCTGAGAAACCCCTTTAAAACCTTTGAAATTAATAATGAAAGACAGGATTGTAAAATAGGTATAGTGTGTGTGGGGGTACTTTTGGGAGGGGAAGGGTAAATTAAAGAGATGAAGGTGAGAGAATATAGTTGATGGGTTTCATATACATATACAATATACAACAATTCAGTCTCTTGCAATTGCTTTAAGTGGGGCAGGAGGGGTTTACAGAGTGGAGGAAGTTGGGGGGTAATATAACCCCCACCACTATACAATATAAGGCTATTTATTCACAATTGTCACAATGAATTCCCCCTGTACAATGAATATATGCTGATTAAAAAAATAAAATATGAGAAAAAAGAAAAAAAAGACTGACTTTCAACTCTGTTCATATCTTTGACTATACTGACCATCTACGCAAAAATGTCTTCTTTCCCCAACCCTTTATGTTCCCAAAGACATCTTTAACATTCAAAACTTAAGGCTACTATTACAATTACTATCAAACCAAACTGGCTAGAGCAGAGGTGGAGGAACTATATAGATACTGTGTATTTTGAAAGTGTAGCCTAAAGATTTGCTAAAGAACTGGAAACTAGTGTAAGAATACAAATTAGCAAAAACTGTTAAGTTTTTTGTTTGTTTTGCTTTTGTTGTCTTTGTCTTCTGTCTACACACATGAGTGCACACACACGCACACACACACACACACACACATACACACACAAGGAAAACTAAAGAAAGAGCATTTGGGCCAGAAAAATCAAGAGTTGACTTTGGGACAATTCTGAGATGTGTGTTAAACTTTTAAATGTAGATGTATCAAGTACACAGGACATACAAACCTGGAGTCATAGGATAGGTATGAGCTAGTGTCATCCATTTTGGAAATAGTAAAATACAGACATCTAAAAGCAGGAGAGAAGATAACTCAGGAAATGAGTACAGACAGAAAAGAAATCATCATGGTGAAATCATTGCTAGAGATCAGAGAAAGAGCACTTGAAATTGTTATAAAGAATTATGCATTAAAAAAACTCACCAAAAATTCAGCCCTAATCTTTTGTCATTAAAATAGCCTTCCTATATAAAATAATACTGACAATGAATGACAGTTTTCTTTAAAGATCTTATTTGTAAAGCTGAAAATATAATACTCTTGTGTGTTTCTTGCTGTATTTTATTTTACTTTTTATTCATTTTACTTGTCAGTGATTTTGAAAACTCTGCAAACTACTGGCATAGTCAGTATTTAAGGATGCTTCTCATTGGTAAAACTCCAAGCATAAATACCAAAAAAATGTACTATACGGTAAAAAATATCTTAACATCTGCATTCCTTAAAATGACCTAGCACAAAGTCTTATGCATTGCAGATGTTCTAAAAAAATTTTTTAATAGTTCATTTTTCATAGAAACAAAGATATCCAGGTTGGCACAGAAATATCATTTTATCCCAACATATACCCAGGCCAACAATTATGTCAGTATACAACCACATCATCAACTACAGGATCACCTCCAGCACAAATCAAATTCAACTATTCTGATCTCCACATACCACAGTGAAAACTACAACTTCCTGGAGCTCTCATGAGCAGAATGAGATATCCAAGCACCCCATAGAGGCTCAGAAAAAGATGGCAGAGGAGGGGAAAATCATACCAGGGTATGTACTGGTTTGAAGTAAGGATGAACAGAATCTTCCTTTTACTATGATAAATTCTCTATCGTTCCCCTCACATCAATATTACTACCACCACTAACCACACCCATTGCTCAGGAATCTAAATTTTCCATCTTGGGCTATCAGCCCCTAGACATGATTTTCTATATCAGGTATTTTTATGACTTAACAGGCAACAAAAAAGTTTAAGAAACACTGATGGGAGAAAAACTGAAAAGTCTACATCAAAAAATATCATTTTCCTCAAAACTATAGAAACACTGCAAGAATTATGATACCTTTCCAGGGGCTGAGGCAGGGGAATCCCAGGGAAGGTAGCAAGACACTGGCTCAAAATACATATTTTAAGTAAGAGCTAGGAATGTGGTACAGCATTGTGCCTACCATATACTAGTCCTTGAGTTTGATCACCAGTACTTCCCCCCATACACACACACACACACACACACACACACACACACACAAAATTAATAGCTTCCAACAGAAATACTATGAACTCAAGTGAAGGTAAGAATATTCTGTGAGGATCATTATTCAAGAGGTAAGCTAGAAATAGGAATAAAATGGCAATATGCTGGAGTGAACTGTAAAGGTAAATATGGAGAACAAAGGACTCTGGGAAAAGATCATCCAATTCATGAACTGGAAATAGAAAAGAAATTGTTTTAACCTAAATGATAACCTGCTTACCCAGGGATTACTGGACTTGTACAAGTATTTACTGGGGTGCCGGGCACCAGTGGTGTATGCCTATAATTGTAGTGATCCAGAGGATCAAAAGGATCAAGGTTCAAAGCAAACCCTGAGCAAATAGTTCACAAAACCCTATGTCAAAAATACCCAACACCAAAAAAGGCTGGCTAAGTGGCTCAACTGTATCCTAACAAGTGTGAAGCCAAAGGTTCAAACCCCCATACTGCTAAAAAAAAAAAAAGAATTTACTGGGGAAAAAGAATCCCTCTCAAAGGGACTAGACACCAAAAATACCTCAACTGTAAGTGCACCTCAACCTACTGTATTTTTCATGAAAATTATCTGTGTCTACTAGAAATAAAGCAAGTCAACAGCTGGAGATGTGGCTCAAGTGGTAGAGTATCTGCTTAGCAAGCACAAGACCCTTAGCACAAACCCAAATAGAGCAAAAAAGCAAGTAAATGTTATAACATTGTATATTCAAATCTGCAAATTGTTTCCCTACATGTAAATTCATGTATAGTTTCTGTATACAGCAGTAGTACTGAGAACAATAAAGTCTGGCACAGGGCTGGGGTGTGTAAGTGGTAGAGGGCCTGCATAGCAAGCACAAGGCCCTGAGTTTAAAACACAGTACTGGCAGAAAATAAAAATAATTTTACTTTGTATTTAAGTTTCCAGAATAAGAACCAATACACTGCATGAAAATGGTGAGTTACAACTCAAGGGATACGTTATCAGCATTGGCAATATTCTATGTTAAAGAAACAAACAAACATTATTTACCTTACAACAAAAATATATGAAACAAACTTTCTTCTAAAAATATCAAGTATTTCATTGTACTATTATAAGCAAATAAAGGTGAGTGAATAAACCTATGTATTTGACACATTTACTGAGATTATAAAATAGGTATCACTTTGAATCAGGAAGTTTCATGAAACAATACTGACCAAGGCAGCAAAAAGCTTTCACTTTCTCTAAGAGAAATGAAGTCAGTTATCACTTGGTTGCTTTGCCTATTTCATCTCACAATAACAAAACTTTCTAATACAAATGTACTCTGCTATAAACATTGGTCTGTCTGTCTATCTATCTATCTATCTTTCTACCTACCTTCCTATCCATCCATCCATCCATCTATCCAACCACATTGCGGTTTTTATTCAGGCTCCATGCTTGCTAGGCAGGTGCTCTTACCTCTTGAGCCACTCCGCCAGCTCAAGGTTCTTAACTAAGCCACTAAATTCCAATGTTAGGAAACTGGCTAATGGATAAATTATCATTTTAAGGTAGTTTAAATTTTAATGCTTTTGCTTTGCTGGAAGTGGAAGAGATCTTTGCTTACTGAATCTTAAAGTTTAATTTTTCTAGTATTCACTGATTATAACCCTTCTAATTCACTTTCAATGGAATAAACTAAATGTAGTAAGCAGTAAAAATAAATACTTTTCATTACTTCTTAGTTCATTATTGGCTCATGTGCCAAGTATAAGCTTGGCATTTGTCTCTGTATATTAAAAACATCTCTAAAGCCAAGTGTTGTTGGGAGGCAGGCTTCTAAGTTCAAGGTCAACCTGGGCTACAAAGTCAGGTGTTATCTCAAAACAAAACAAAATAAAACAAAACAAAGCCCTAATTTTTTAAGGCATTTTCATCTGAACTAATTCTCAAAATCTCCCTTATAACATAGCTCTTACCACAGTTTTGCAGATAAGGAATCACAGACAGGTTCACTGAGTTACACTCAGTTATGCCGTGTATTCTTCAAAGTGCCTGCCTGTCACTGCTCTAGGAGCTGGAGACATACCAGTGAACAAAACAAAAATTCTTGCTTTTGTGGATATTACATCCCAGTGGGAAAGAAATACATTAATAAAATCTCTTGGATGAAAGGTGAGAGTAAATGCTTGTAGAAAAGGAAATCAAGGACTGGCGATAAGGTATATTTATGCTATGATCAAAACCCGGCAAAAATCCAGGTAATAGCAACATGACAACAGAAATCTGACAAATGGGCTCTTACAAGCAGAATTTTCTCCCTCTTTCCTTGTAAGCCACTTCCTTAAAAGTAGCTTTCAGAACAGAATAGTGTGCAACATTTTATTTGAAAGTCCTGCAAACCTCCAAGCTTCAATGCCTAAACTGACCCACGAAACAACACAATAAACATGACAAGTTAGCAGAAACTGCTTGGCTTTTCCTACTTACCATAAGCACTGGGGAAGTCCCCAGGTCCTGGTCCAGGATAGAAAGGACCTGGCCCCGGTGGTTGAACTGGATACTGTTGTGGGGGCCCAACATAAGGAGGGCCACTGTGACGGTACTAGAAGAGAGAAAGCACAGATATTTGTATGTAATGTGAAGGTAGCTTGCCACAGAATAATAAAGTGTTCTTTGCATGTTAAAAAGTAGTCACTGGAATGAAGTGTAAGTGTGGCTGGTTGCTAAACACATTCAAAATGTGTGCTTGACATCCATATGCAACAAGGATGAAAGAGAAAAGTACACCTTGGGTAAGCCACATATAGCAAATCAGTACACAAGCTGCCAGCCATCAGCTCACTGTAAATGATTTTAGGCTGGTAGCATTCAATGAAAATAAATGACATCACAGGAACAGCTGAGTACACTTCAGAGCAATTGTTTACGAGGAAGGGATGCAGAAAGTTACAAAAGAAACCATTTCTCCATGGAAAATTTTAAGCAAAGAAACAGCAATATTTCCTTACAAATTATGGAAGATTAAAAAAATGGCTAAACTTATAACCAATAAAAAAGTTTATATACATCACCAAATATCAGTGCCATCACCCACCCACCCTGCTCCCTCTGATGGTTTAATTTCCATTTCTTTGTTGGACCACATGTGCCTGAAAGATATTTTACCTGTGGGATACAGTACTGAGGACCCTGGGGCACTGGGTACGGCATAGGCAGGTGGTTAACCATCATGATGTGCTGATTGGTCTGATACACTGCAGTGGGTGTTTGTGCACCAGGACGAATGGAAGGACTGCTGTTCGGGATGGTGGCTCTAGGAGGCTGTATCTGAGGCCTCTGGAAAAACTGGGAAGGGAAGAAAGAATTTTTCTTTTTTTACAAAGGGAACTGTATAAATTTTACTGTTTTGAGTTTTCTTTTTTTCCCCACTAATAAAAAAGCTGATTAACCTTAATTAGAAATATAGTATACATGAAAAGAGAATGAGCTGCGTAAATGGCTGGTTCACGGAGCATACTCCATGCTAAGTCAAATTCATATCAATGTCAGTATATGTATAAAATTAGTAGGGCAGTCTCAACTTTCAAGTCTTAGCTATTATAAAATAAAAGTCATGCACCACAATTACTGATTTAAAATGTACAATACAACAAAAGCTGTAGCTGATGATTCTCTGAAAGAATAGGTAGCTCAATACGAACTCTTCAAAAATTGATAGTCCCCTAAAATACTACCTACTTACGAAGTATTTAGGAGAGAATAAGAAATCTCTCTCAACGTAAAAATTTTCATCAAGTCCATAAAGCTAAATTAAAAGCATCTGTAAGGTTGTTACATGATAAATTAAGCCTTCTTTGTTAAAAAGGGGTAGAACAACCCCATTCTAAATTGACCCCAGTTTTGCTCTCTAGGATAGTCTGCAACAAGGGTGGAAAACCTAGACAGGCTTAACAGTAGTCTAAAATGAGCAGAGCTAAACCTCTCAAATGTCTTAATACCTATAGTTGTTTATGATTCTCACCGTAAGCTTGAAAATAAACAATATACCACTAGTGCATTTCCAACATGAGTGTATTTGCTCATCAGGAAACAATCTCACTGTAATAGCAAGACAGAGTAATAATTAAGAGGCCATGCAGAACCAATAGTTTGTTACCTGGATGGGTCTGAATCCTCCCTTGAAATACGAAGCAAGAAAGCAGCAGGAAACAGAAAGAAAGCCAATGGAAAAGCTTACAGATCAGTAGGAAGGGGTAGGACATAGCATGCAGCTCAAAAAAAAACCTTTCTATTTAGCAGTAATAGAAGAAAGAAGACTAGAACATCAGAATGACAATTCTCCACTTGAGGACTCAAGCACATGGGGAATTAAAGCTCAAATCATATTTAATTGAAAACAAAAATCTTCTAAGAGTAGTCACAAGGTATAGAAAATGTCTGCTTGATGGCAAAAGTACAGTTAAGATTACTGCTTCCTATTTCTGGCTCTCATACCTGCCCATTGTACTATTTGGCATGATTTAGCTTCTGTACAATCTACTGTCCACCTTGAACAGTGATAAAGAGTCAATTAAAAAAAAAATGTGTCAGCCAGGCATAGGTGGCTCATGCTTGTAATCCTAACTACTTGGGAGGCTGAGATCAGGAAGATTGAGGTCTGATGCCAGCCCAGGCAAACAGTTTGTGAGATCCCATCTATAAATAATCAGAGCAAAATGGACTAGAGGTGTGGCTCAAACAGTGGAGCACCTGCTTTGCAAGTGTAGAGCCCTGAGTTCAAACCCCAACACCACCAAAAAAAAAAAAAAATATATATATATATATATATATATATATATATTGTTTTGTGATTTTAAAGTTTGCTACAGTGCTGAGAAATAACTAAACTTTTCAATATGCATCAGACTTTTCATGACAGATATTTGCTCTTTTAAACTAATGAATTTGGTGTATAAGAACTAACATATACTCTAAAATAGAATGCTATAGTAACAATCTTAAAATGTAGTCTGCTCCATGATCTCCAGAATTGTTTCACAGTACCAGACATAAGTGCTGTTACTGGTCCAAATAAACCCAAGCTTTAACCTTTGGGTCCACTTAGGTCTTATTCTGTCCTTTTATTTATCAAGATACCCCAGATACATAAGTAACTTTTTATCTTGTGTGGAAAGTGGGAGAAGTGCAATCTCATGCTCAAGGCTAATCCCCATTCAACCTTCATACCCCAGGGCAAAAAAGAGTCCTAAAGAGACAGCATCATAGAAAAGTAACAGTCAGAAAGCTATAGCAGGAGAATGGAGTAAATGGGCAAGCCCAGTGGGGGGGCAGTGGAGACCAGGAGGCCAAAAAGAGAAGTCTATGGAGATGAAAAGAAGTACAAGAAGCAAAGTGGATATCCCAAGAACCTGAGGTGGGTCACAACCCACTGAAAGAATTGTGAACACAGGCTGCAAACAGGAATACGAAAGTAGTAAACCTTCTATCACTGGCCTGCACTTCCCTTAATTACAAAGCAGATACAGTGGTATGTGTAAATGCATATTATATAAATGTGAGCCATAAAAATACTTCCAAAATAAACTTGAGCAACATTTTTATAATGTAGTTATTACATAAGAAGCTACAAAAATGTTACAGGCCTCAAGGAAAGCAGAGTCATTGTCTCCTCTAATTATTAAACATTGCTAGATAGCATGCAGTAGATTACGATCCATACTGTGAGATACTATTCCATCAACTCTAGAGGGCAGTACCAGACAGACAGGTGATAATCTACTTTGGTTATAGGATCATCTAATTATGTCCAGGTACTCACATATTGCATGAAGACATGTGGTATTACTTGGTGACATGGGGAAAAGAGAAGAAACTAACACACTCACTTATGCAGAGTATAAAAAACATATATGGGCAAAGTTTCCTGACAAGTTTAATACCTTACATGTGAGGGCTTTTTTTGCTGTGGTACAGGGGTTGAACTCAAGCCTTATACAAGCTAGGAAGGCACTCCACCACCTGAGAAACTCCACCAGCCTGTGAGGGCTTTTCTCAACATTATTTTCCAACTATTCTCATGGGCTTCTTAGCTAGTTTCTCTAGAATAACTAAGGTTATTCAAAGGGGGAGGGGGCTTCAAATGGTATTAAGGCATTTTCTATGGTGATTTTGAAACAAGTGATACTCCCAACATTAACATAGGGCAGGGTCAATAAAACAAAATTTGTGGTTATATTGACATATGATTTTTACACATTAGGATTTCAGTTTTGAAGCTAAGCAGAAATGAATCTACACAGACACATTAAGTAATAACAACAATATGTTACAGACCACTTAACTAGTTACCAGGTACCACCCCAAGCACTTTACGTATGTATTAAATCACCTCACAGCAAATCTCTACAGCAAGCACCATTACTGACACTACACAAGATATGTACAGAAACTGAGGGACAGAGAAACTAAATAATTTGATGAGGCCCCCATCTATAAACAGTCAGGCACTAGTTCTGTGTACTACCTCTTACAATATGGAATTTCCAGGTATTCTCAAACAAATGTGCTTTATTAGAAGAAATTTTTTCTTTACAAAGGCAGAAGGTATGTGGTAGGTGGGCCCTTCGTCCAACTATACTAATGTGTGGCAGATTCCTCAATTATAACTGACTCCTCCTTTTCTAAGGAAAAGGCTCCAGTGATTACATCACAAAAATCATGTTTAACATTTTGAAATGTTAACATTTTTACAAGTATAGGCTATTGGGAGCTGATTTTTTTCCTCTTAAAGATACAATACCACGGGGGTAAGGGAGGGGGTGGGGGCAGGGGGGAGAAATGACCCAAGCCTTGTATGCACATATGAATAACAAAACAATTAAAAAAAATAAAGATACAATACTACAAAATACACATATGCACACACACCAGAGAATTTACTATCTATACCTCTAGAAAAGTTGTAATGGTTACAAATGCAGAGAATTACAAAGATATGGAGTCTCTTTTTTTGTATCCCTTCTAAGCCAATTATATTTAATGAATTATATTTAATAATGGTATAAGAAATTCAGATTTTCAGATGAGTGGGCATGGTAATAAACCACAGTTATTAAAAGGAATGTACAGAGCTAGAGGAGTGGCCCACATTGTAGAGCATCTGCCTAGCAAGCTGGAGGCCATTAGTTCAAATCCCAGTACCACAGTAAATAAGTAAAATAATAAATAAATGAAATTTCCACCGAAAGGAATGTCTGAATGGGTTTTCCCAAAATGTTTGAAATCCTTCTGAATCCCTTTTCTTCTCAACTCAAGGATGAAGAATCACTGTGAGAGTCAAACACTTGTAGCTGGAAGGACAATATAGACCATTTCCCCATACCATCTAATGGAAGTTTTAATGTCTTTTACAACATGCCCTTGGGGTTATCAAACAGGCAAATCAAGACCCAGTTCTGTTTCACAGTTAAATGGGATTTGGACACGGCCAAGGTCTTTTTATGTACTGGCTCTAAGTTTTTTAGTCGTATCATATACTCACTAATTCATTGTCTATCGCTAAAAACCGCAGTGAAGTCAAATCATTCTCCCTAAGTGACAGACCTCTAAGTTAGCTGAAGAACTGCCATTACTGCCAACTTTCATACCACTGTCTGTTTTTTATTCCAAACCAATGGCCTCCTCCCACACTACATCTCATTACTCCAACCAAGACAGAACTGCCTGACCAGCTTGTTCTCTCTCAATCTGGTCGCATCGCTCAGTTTCAATAAAAAGGAAACCAAACACAATATCCAAGCAGAGTCTGCCCAGAATATACTTGCCCTTCACTCAAAAAATATTTGCTGCTGAATGAAAGGGTAAAATATCTCTTTTTTTATTGCCAATTACGATTCACCAATGAAAGCTAGACTCACAAGAACTGCTTTGTCAACTGCATTTTACACTGACTGGCACCAAGTTATAATCCTTGAAAACTTAAATCTTCTTTACAAATAACATTTATTTATTATTTATTATATTATTTATATATTTATATATAAATATATATTTATATTATAAATATATATTTATAATATATATTATTTATATATTTATATATAAATATCTATTTATATATTTATAATATTTATATATTATAAATATATTTATATATATTTATAACAAAAATATATATATTATAATATTTATATATTATAAATATATATTTATATATTTATTATTTATTATATTATTTATTTATTTATTTACAAATAACTTATTACCAATAAGTCCACACTTTTGTGTGGACTGAGTTTTGTTTTGACGTTCATACAAAGAATCTTGCATTTTGTTCCTTTGAAATT